GTTCCATCTCCGGCGAATGGCGACTCCATCCCCAGTCGGTCCAGCTGATTGGGACCAGTTCGGGGAGCACAGATAGACCTGTTCGCCTCTCGGGACTCGTCCCACTGCGCCCAGTTTTTTCTCTGACCCGCGGCTCTCTCGGCTCGGATGCGATGGCGCACAGCTGGCCACGGGGCCCACGCAAGTGTGCGTTCCCCCAGTGAGCCTCCTTGCACGGGTGTTGTGCAAGATCAAGGAGGACGAGGAGCAGGTCTTGCTGGTAGCCCCCTACTGGCCCACCAAGACGTGGTTCTCCGAACTCATGCTCCTCGCGACAGCACCTCCTTGGCCTATTCCTCTGAGACCGTACTCTCTCAGAGACGGGGCACTCTGTGGCACCCTTGTCCCGATCTGGAGGCTGCACGTGTGGCTCCAGGACGGGACGAGGCAGGTTTGAGTTCGCTGCCACCTGCGGTGGCGGCAACCATCACTTCCGCAAGAGCGTCGTCCACGAGACACCTTTATGCGTTGAAGTGGAACCTCTTCGTCAATTGGTGTTCTTCTCGCTGAGAAGACCCCCGGAGATGTTCGATCGGAGTCGTGCTTCCTTCCTGCAAGAGGGGTTGGAGCGTAGGCTGTCGCCCTCCACCCTTTGGATTTATGTCGCGGCCATTGCCGCGTCTCATGATGCAGTGAAAGGTAAGTCTATGGGAAGCATGACCTGGTCATCAGGTTCCTGAGGGGAGCGAGGGGGCTAAATCCGCCTCCCTCCCCTCCTGCCCTCTGGGGACTCTCAGTAGACCTGGGTGCTCTGCAGAGGCCTCCCCTGGAGCCTTTGCAGTCGGTAGAGTTTTTGCCCTGTCCTATGTGACAGCACTCCTGATTGCATTGGTCTCCATCAGGAGAGTAAGGGACCTGCTCGCACTCTCTGTTGACGAAGTGTGCCTGGAGTTCGGGCCGGCTTACTCTCACGTATTCCTGAGACCCCGGCCTGGATATATGCCCAAGGTTCCTACCACTCCCCTCCGGGACCTGGTGGTGAACCTGCAAGCGCTGCCCCTGGAGGAGGCAGACCCAGCCTTGGCACTGCTCTGTCCGGTACGTGCTCTCCGCACCTATGTCGACAGAACGCAGTGTTTCAGGACCTCAGACCAGCTCTTTGTCTGTCATGGGGGGAGCCAGAAGGGAAGGGCTCTCTCAAAGCAACGGCTGTCCCACTGGATAGTGGATGCCATTGCTTTGTCTTACCAGCAGCAAGGCCTTCCGTGCCCCCTTGGTGTGACGGCCCATTCCACTCGGAGTGTGGCCTCCTCTTGGGCTTTAGCGCACGGCGCCTCGCTAACAGACATCTGCAGAGCTGCAGGCTGGGCGACACCCAACACCTTCGCCAGATTCTATAATCTGCGAATTGAGCCGGTATCCTCTCACATACTCGTTTCGGCCAGTTCTGGATCCGCTCAGGTGTTTTCGCTTGCTCGCCACTCCACTCCCCGGACTGGATAAGTGCGATATTTCCTCAGTTCTTCCATTGAAGCCTTGAGTCCTCCAGCACCGACGATGCGGGCACCACTGCTGTGGCTCTGGATGCTGGCTAGGTGCCTCCATGCGTACGGCTCCCCCTTGGTAACCGTCTCATGTGTATTATCCACTGTAAGCCTCTCTGAGCATGTGTCTTCCCTTGGCAAGCCATCTGCCACCCCTGGAGCTGAAATTAGTAGCCACCTGTGGTTGGTGCTCCAGTGATTCCATATGTGTTCCTATGTGGCCATATGTGTATTCGTAAGTCCTCCCTTCGGTAGGCAGCTGGTAGCATGTCCCCTTCGGGATATGTTTCCCAGTGTACCTTGGTAATCCTGTGAAGTCGGATCCCCTAAGGAAAACAGGTAAGGCTCGGGGGTTCAGACTTTCGCAGGGCACTGGAAGACAGCCTGAAGTTGGCGTGATGGCACAGACCCCCAATCTCCGTCACTTCTGACGTAACTCGAAGTGACTACGAAAGGGAACGTCTCGGTTACGTATGTAACCCTCGTTCCCTGAGTAGGGAACGGAGACGTTACGTCTCCCTGCCACTTCTGCTGTATCGCTGGGTAGATGCCGAGTTCAGTCTTGGCTCCTCAGCGAAGACATACTGCGGTTGCGTTCACTTCCTCCTTTTATACTCACGGAGTAGGGCGGAGTACGCTATGCAAATTTCCGCAGCCCCAAGGCATTGCATGCCATTGGCTCGTGTTTAAATACTCGAAGAGGATTGGCTTTCTATGCGAAACCCCCAATCTCCGTCACTTCTGACGTAACGTCTCCGTTCCCTACTCAGGGAACGAGGGTTACATACGTAACCGAGACGATTTCATCACAGGAATAAATGAAAGAAAACACTTGTTATTGTAATAGTATTTCACAATATTGAAGTTTTTAAAATATTATTACAAAAAACTGTTTCATATGGAAGCAGCAGGGCTTTGGTCCAGGTGAGTCCATTATGAAGTCAACAGGCTTGTTATCACCACCTCACTGCCAATAGCAACATTAGCCTACATATGGTCCTGTCAGTAGCTCCACACTGTCACCTCTTCCAAAAAAACACCACCACCATCACAACTACATAAAAATAAAAAATAAAATCACAAACATTATATCCTCTGAGGAACAGTACGAGGGGGTTTGTGTTTACGGGGGACAAGAACAGAGGATGCTGTGTCAGTCCCCTAGTGGAACGAGGGATCAGCGACAGCAGCAGATGGTATGATTGTGCGGGAGGTGGAGGATATTTTCCACTTGTCTTGTTTTCCGAGGAAGCAGTCTGGGATGTGAGCCAAGTTTAGGTAAAACAAGCTCTGCCGCCAGGGTTAGGGTGGCAACGTGCGTTAGACTTGTTACACATCCAGCGCTAGTTACTGAAGTTTGAAATCAATGAACTGACAGATGTCAGTCACAAACATCATAAAGCCTCAGTGTTTATCTGAACAGAAATGGCCCTTGTCCTTACAAATGTCTCTTCTGGAAGATCTAACCGTTAAGATCTAACCATTTAATGATGGTACATGATGATAAACTGCAGATGTTATTTTGCATTCAATCGATTTTTGAAGGAAATTGAAGGGGTCATATAATGCCATTTTGCCAAAGCCAAGTTAATTTGATTATTTACGGTCTAAATCAAAAGTTTGTAATATACTTTAATTAAAAATTCTCATTGTTGAAACGCTGCTGCCAATCAACAATCGTGGGAGGGACGTCCGACTGCGTGATGTCACACGGTCGAACGGCTAGATTTCAGGCAGGGGAAAACATATAAGGAGATTAAAACAAAAACACTAGATGGATTTTTATCATTATATGATGATTGTGTACAGGCAATGCCAACACACATTTCAGTACAATCAACTTGAAAAAGTGCATATGACCCCTTTAATACTTCTATTCATCAAGTATGCATTAAATTCCTCAAAAGTGACAGTAAAGACAAGGCATCTGTCACTGCTCATTGGAAAAAATGACATTCATCAGAGCATTTTGCCTGCATTATCTAAACCAAGTACTTTATTATGAATAACAAACGAGCATTAGTCCCATTTTTAAAGTTTAAGGCAACGCAAATACTCACTATTATAGAGTAAAATGAAATTATGAACGCATTTAACACGGCAACCAGGCCACACGAAACTATATCCTTGTGACCTTCTTTAAAGTCACCATGAAATCAAAATTCTCACTGTATATTTTTATGGAATATTGCATGATTTATTATAAATGATTCATCAGTGTGCTGTGCATCATTATTTTATAAATGTATATGCCCTTGCAATTTAATCAAAATTATTTCCCTCCCTCTTGCAACGCCAAGTATTTTCTTCATAGAGAAGAAAATCACAACGTCCATTTCATGCCAACTTTCGCTATTAAAAGTAGGTTTACAAGTCACAGAAATGTACTAACTGAAAGTGGCGTCACACTAAAGGATTCTCCGTGCCCCAGCAAACAAATCCAATTTGTTGTCAACCATTTTCATCATCGATTTCATTACTGATAATTAGTTGAAGCATTACTGATTTTTGATCCACATGGCTGAATATCTTCTGGTGTGCTGGTATGTGATCTCAAACCTTAATGTCCCCTTCCCAGAATCCCTTGGGGCTTGCCATATTCCTGCATACCTCTCCTTATGGCTCGACCCGGCCAAGGCCAACGACAAGTCTGCAACCAAACACTCCCGACTTGCCAGTAGCAGCTGGCCTGGGTTCGCATAGCAACATTGTGACAACATTTTTAGCCCATCCTGACAATGTGTTACCCTGCCACAGCTAGGCTGGTTGTCACTGCAGTCGTCTGCTGTCTCCTGGCAGCTGGAACCTGCTGGTTTAAAAGTATGTAATGCAACAGACAGCTGTGTGATTTCACTCTGTTAAACCTGCTTCAACAGATCATCTAATCGTATTTACTCTGTCTTTGTGAAAACATGTCAGCAGTGCAACAGTCTCAATTGGCTTTAAAACACAACAGGGGTATATTGTAGATTATCGAACACTGATGAAAAACTCAAACAAGTTAAATCTAGAACATTATATAAGAAGGTCAAATATTCCTGGGGAGCCAGCTGACCTGCCATTTTTGATTCGTGAATGCCTTGTGACTGATCACACTGAAGCCGGAGGAAAATGGTGTGATGAAAATGCAGTAAATATAATACATGGAAATAGCTGTATGTTTTCCAGTCAGCGTTAATTAAATAAAAAATAAAAATGTATAATATATTTTTTCCTAATACTAAAAAAATACTGCTTTTTGTGGTGGGGATATTGATGCTTTTTTGTCACATAATGTTGAAGCTAACCAGGAAAACCGTAGAAATGCGCTATTCGTAATCAGCCATGGTTAATTTATTCCCCAAGTGTAAGTATGTAATGATAGAGCTGTTATAAAGAAAGAATTATATTCAGCTGGTCATGTGATCTACCAGCTCTGTGCAAAATAAAGCATCAGAATTTTCTAAAAGGATTATTCTGGGTTTTTTAGGGGTAAAACTATTTTAATGAGTGAAAAACCACTGAGTTCACCTTGTAAACTTGAAACATGACGTTAAAATCTGGATACAAAATGTAAAGCACCCAGTATGTTTGAAATCCCGGACTAGTCAGGTCACCGGAGCAGTTAAGCTTTGCCTCTTTCCTGGTTATGACTGACAGCACCAATAACACAGAGAGTCAAGGCTCTGCCACAGACCATTACGCCAAGGTTAGCCATCTCTTGGTCCTCTATCTCAGCAATCATTCATCACGTTTCCCCTTCAAATGGAAAAAAAAAAATCTTTTGAATATTGCTTTGGAAAGTTCCATTTTTCCACCCTCTTTTCTGTGGCAATCTAATGAGACGTGACATATTTCTTTGGTTCCAGTTCTTTAATTCATTAGCCTGACCATTATTTGACGATTACCACAAACTTAACATCAGAAACCAACCCTTCTTGATGACTTTTTAATGTGTTCTCTCTTATTTCCCGACTTATCAGCGATCAGTAGGTTTTAAGCGATGAATTTAAGGCGTCACGCGGCGCGGGCCATCAGCAATTAGAAGCGGCATTGCACTCAAAGCTATTTCTGACATCTTTTTAATACCTTCTCCTTTTATTTTCCCTGAGAACACAGCAGAACTGCGACAGATATGACCTGTGTTTACCGTGTTATCATTTTTAATGAATTGCCAGGCTCAAGGAAACTGTGGAAAGAGTAAACTTCAAACGAATCCAGTCCAATTAAGGTGTTTAGCCATCTGTCAAAACAGTCACTTCCCTGAGTGACACTCATATTTTAATGAGTCGCATTATCCGTTGGTATCATTACCGTGGATTGTGCTCACACCAACAACACCCACCCTTCCCTCCACTGCTTTTCCTCCAATGCTAATTCGTGTACATAGTGATTCTCTGATGCAACACCCTGGTAACTTGCATTTAACAGAAGCGCACGAAGAGTTAAGCAGGCATTGTCATTGCCGTTACTTTGTGGATGTCTCGTGAAAGAACAGTGAAGGTGGCGGAAATAGTTACATGGCTGTAAATCCATACGAAGGACAAAGACGCGCATCAATCCCTCACAGGCGGACAGAAAGGGTGGTCCATCTGGCAAAAACATCAAGCTCAAGTACAATCAGAGGGGACACTGGCTCATCAGTTCCTTCAGGCTCTGGAACACTGATTATGTGTTGTATGGATTGATGAGGAGGTTTAATTAAAGAGATGGACGCCTGGCATGATGAGACATGTGGAAAACACTCCACTAAACTAATATGCATTCCACAAAATGTGCAATCTCTCTCCTTTTTTTAATCGAAATGGCTAGCTAAACGTGTATATATATTTATTATGGCTGTTTGCCCTAAATGGATGATGTTTAGGACAAATATTTTCATCAAATCAGATCACTTACATGCACTTTAGGCTTTAAGCCAACATCATAATCCATGGTAATCAAAAAACTAAGTGTGTTTCTGTTAAAAAAAACAAGTGATCTTAAAGTCTCTCAGGCTCGGTAATAGATCTCACCCTTCACTCGTGATTCGAGAGCACAGATCATTTGATGGGTGAAAGTCATTAGGAACACTTACAGCCCACTACAAATACTCAAGATATAAAGTGACACATTTATAAACATAAGGATCTATAAGGGCTTTCAAGGACTTAAATGATTGATTGATGTTAGATATTTAGTGTTGTGTCAATGTGAGACAAAAGCATTTGGAATATTAACATTACATAAAACAAATTACAGGAAAAGATGAAAAGAAAGTGTTGGCTGAGTGTATCATCTCTTCATCATTTTCTTTCAAATTTTAACCCAATTACCTAAAGCCAAATATATCTGCTGCTTCACTGTTACTTTTGCTGAAGAAAAACAAACACTAAAACTAACGGCATGTATAATTGGTTTGACAGTAATGTTTAAAAATAGTTTGACCATTTAGCTAATATAATTTCATGGTTTATCACAGTAAGAAAATATTTTATATTTTTATAATATGTTTCAAAATAGTGTTTAATATAACTGATTTAATTTAACTGAATTTCCATTGAATAAAACGCAGATTTTACAGTTAACTATTAAATTTAAATAAATAAATAAATAAAATACTGTGTATGCTATGAAGCTAGTTGGGTTAAACGAGAAAAATATTCTCTGTCTTTCTCTACATCTGTGTCTGAGTACTGCTGATTAATTATGTGTCTCTGGGTGCATTCGAGAATATAAATCTCACTCTCTTTCTCTGAATGTGTACCTTTCTATTTCTTCCATCTTTCCTCCCCTTCTCTCTCTCCTCTCCAGGGCTGGTGATGAACCTTCTCTACAGCGGTGCTTTATTCACAATGACACCTGGCCCATCTGAAAATCAAACAACACAGTGTGCACTCAGTATCCAGGGCATTCAATTACCAGGGTTGTTGTTGTTAAAAAACAACAGCTCTCATATAGCTACTCTATAAACAACACAACGGCACAAAAACACAAACAAATCCCCAAATGCAAGCATGTGCACCTGCCCTTTGTGACACGGCACTCCAAAATGCAATACACTTTTCTCCAAGGCGTAAGACTCGGGCCGAGTGGTGTTATTGCATTAATATTGGTAAGGTAAAGACACGGGTGATGTGACGCACCACGCAAGACAGGCTTGAGCGAGCAGCACACGTGCTGAATGCAAAGCTTGTTTTGTGGTACGCGATCCAACGAGTTTGCGCAACAAACAACACTGGGGCTGAATGAGAAACAAGGCTGACCTGTCAGGGTCTAATGCGCAAGGGGAATATATTTTCAGTGAAAAGACAGAGAGTGAGAGAGAGAAGTGTTTTGAAATGTATCCTCAGACAAAATGGAAGAAAAAGCACTGAACTGTGAGGTGATTATCTGACAGTCTGACAGAACTATATGCCTAATTCTTGAGGAAATACTGGCTATATATAAGCATACTTGCTTTGCATCAATAATCTAGAAAAAAAAAAAAAAAATCACCACAGTATTTTTGGACAACATCGGGATCATATTTTGGATATATTAATATTAGTGCTGTCAAATTACAATTTTTAAATTAATTAATTACATCATGTGCTGATTAACTGATCTAACTAAACACAAAACTAATCCCACATTAAATTTGGCTGAGAAATTACCCCCAAAAGATAAAGTCGTTAATGTGTTAAATTAGAAAAGCATTAAATAAACATTACAAAAACAAAAGGAACATCTTTTTGGAAAGCATTTTACTTTTGCTTAAAGGGTTAGTTTAATGGCGCTTTTCCACTACACAGACAGTACCGACTCGACTCGGCTCGCCTTTGTTTGGTTTTCCACTGTGTAAAAGTTGTACCTGTTCCTGCTTTCGGGTACTTTTTTTATAGGTTCTGAGCGAGCTAAGGCGATACTAAAAAGTCAGTGAAAACAATGCCGACTGCTGATTGGTCAGAGAGAATCGTCACCATTCACTACGTCATCATTACACGCGCCAAATTGAGTATCCAGAATAACCCCGCTATTTTTAAATAGTTTGGCCAGAGATAGTTACTAAACTAACTACTATAATTATGGCAACTCGAAAGAATACGCCATGGTCAAACGAGGAGGTGAAGACTTTCCTTTGGTGGCCGAAAAGATGATCCAGCGAGAGATTGATGGGGCAACGAGGAACGAAAGGCGTCGCTATGACGACTGGGTACTATTTGTGGCAGTACTGACTGGAATGGAAAACAGAACGGTAATGGAAAAGGCCATAAGATATTTTCTGTCCATCCATTGGAAATGTATGTACGGTATACTGTCCTTGTCCAGAAAGAAAATAAAGACATCATCAAAGTAGTCCATGTGACATCAGTGGGTTAGTTAGAATGTTTTGAAGCATCAAAAATACATTTTGGTAATATATTCAGGATTGTATTCTCTTTCGGTTCTGTTGCCAATCCGCGTTCACGAGTCAGCAGTGACGCTGGTGACGTAAGACGCTGCTGACATGTATCTGTTGCGTCCATGTGTTCGGGTTAAAATAAATATGGCTGGGCAAAAAAATGCTGGGGAAAAAAGTCTTCCTCTGTGTGGAAATCCTTAGACATGTTTGCAAAGACTGTTTTGTTACAGCGTGCGTCTCCCTTAGAAACTGTGAATGAAGCTCGGGCGTACCAGATACACGTCAGCAGCGTTACTGAACGCGGATTGACAACAGAACCGGAAGACTGAATAAAATGCTGAATAAGGTCGTAGTTTTTGTTATTTTTGGACCAAAATGTATTTTCCATGCTTCAAAACATTCTAACTAACCCACTGATGTCACATGGACTCCTTTGATGATGTCTTAATTACCTCTCTGGACAAGGACAGTATACCGTTTTAAAGGAGGGACAGAAATCTCTCGGACTAAATCTAAAATATCTTAAACTGTTCCGAAGATGAACGGAGTTCTTACGGGCGACATGAGAGTCGTTAATGACATAATTTTCATTTTTGGGTGAACTAACCCCTTTAACTTACTTTCCAATCAGCATCAATTATGGGGCGGCAATTGCTTGAATAGTGGGTTCATTAATTTTCTTAATGAAAAACACAACAGTAAAAAACTTACTTAAATAGGCACTTTTACATTTGGCTTTGAAACCAAATGTTCCACCATCGTCTTGTCAGTCACTTTCACATGATGAAATCATGAAATCACTCTGCTGCTGATCTGTGCTGTGACAGACACATTCAGTTTTTAATTGTAGTGTCTGTTCTCTAACTAAATCATTTTTATTACTAAATAAACTGAAACGACAGTGGTCAAGTGATATAATTGGTGAGCGGCTGAACACTGCATAACACCGACTATCAAAGCTTTACTGTATTTACAAATATTCGCTGTTCTCACAGGTTCACGTTTTTGGAGTTTGCATAGAGAGAACTAAAGAGTTTTCTGTTAAAAAAGGTCCTGTGTTAGTGGCCCCTAAGTTAATAACTAATGACCGTCGCAACAGAAGTGAATCAATCAAAACTTTAGCTTTAGAAAATAACTTTATTCTAGAGCTGCTATAAATCCAAAACAATCTCTGTTACTTTAATTCCCTATTATCACTGTAAAGCTGCTTTGGAACAATCATTTGTTAAAAGCTCTATATAAAGGAAGACTTGACTATATAATGAAAATGCAGTTTACTGGTAAGAAAAGGTCAAATTAGCATATCATCTGCTACTTTCTTATTTTACAATTTCCAAATTATATTAAAAAAAATTGCATATTTTTGACAAACCGTTCACATTACTGAATCTCATGATCTTATAAACATTGATCTGAATGCTTAGGCTAAAATGAAATTAGTTTTGCAGACTATATACATTTTGAATTTTTTGTACTGTAAAAAAAATAGATAATAACATATAAGTTGGGCCAGATGGTGAAGAAAAAGCACACACGTTAACTCCTTCGATACAGTTTAAGCTACACATTTTTTGGTCACAACATAGTTTACATATTTTGCCATTTAACAGTTCCGATGACTTTATCAGTATTACAAAATGTGAGAAAAACGAAATGAGTCAAACTTTTGACTGGTGCTATATGCAAAGATAAAGGAAACTAATTCAATTTCATTCAATGAAATGAATCGGAACAAGAGAAAACTCAAGCCACCCTACATTTGAAACAAACAAATAAATGTAGAAAGTTCAGGGCAAAGCAGAAAAAGGAGAACATGGGAGAACAGCTGTCAGCTGACCAATGATGCAAGCATCATGCCCCAGAAAACCATCTGAGAACAACTCAATAGCAACAGTTCTCTTTTTTAAAGTCAGCATGAGCTCAAAACTGACCCTTTTTTATTGTGTTTGTTGTGCTTCATCGGTATATATAGACCACTTTAGATTAAACTAAGCACCGCCTACATATTTACTCGTTTTGCTCACATATGGAAGTAGAATGTGTTCGGAACTGGGTTTTGTGCTGCCTTTTATCATTCGGTTCTTGTCGCCCTGCCTTAGAACCCCCCCCAGGACACATTAGACCATCAGCCAGGTTGCAGGGCGAAAAAAAGAAAGAACACTTGCTTTTTATACATGACCACATCCCTCCCCTTATTAGGCATTAGAGTCTGTTTCTTCTGCCATGTATAGAACCTTGATGAGCCATGTTTATTCATAGACTAACCTTTTTAAATAATTCTGAGAGCTCTCTGACAAAGGCCTCCACAGCATACTTAATACCTCATCTAGGTTTCATTATTCAGCGCTTATAGTCTCTCCGCCGCCCCACTTGAGATGCTGAACATGAATTATCCCAGGCCCCTCTCCTCTCAGCCTCCTCCCCTTCTTCTCTTCTCACTACAAGCATCTCCTCTCTCTCTCACTCTCCTTTCCTCTCATTCCCTCTCTCAGCAGCCTTATCCCACAGGACAGAGAGGCTTACTGATTACTGCAGTAATATCACTACTCACTACACTTCATTCCCCTCTCCCTCTCTCACTCTTTCAGTTTCACTCTGCTTTTTGGAACGACAAATAACTCCACATTTGTATACCCAAAGCGACCGCAGATAGGCTACGCTCCTCACGGCAATATTAAAGAACAGTGGAAGGAAACTAGCATGAAATATATGTAATAATAAAATAAGTGTCAAAAAAAAAACATTACATTTTATCCAACATATGGGACTTTATAAAATGTATATTACTTTTAATCTACGTAAAATGCACTTTTACAAAACCAATATGCACTTTAAAACAAATTACAGTCGCAAATCATGTTTTTCTGGAGTAAAACCTATTAGATGTGTCATGTAAACATGAAAGGTCGCTAGTTAAAAGCATCAAACTCTCTAGTCTGCACCTCCTCACGCCTTAAAGGGATAGTTCACCCAAAAATGATGTCTGTCATTTACTCATGACATTCGGAAACCTTTCACAAATTAAATGTCCAAATATTTCAGTTATACAAAGATTCTTATGATGTTCACTTAATATGCTACTATTATTATTAATTATCAGTTTATCAAGTGAAAGAAACATTCCGTTTGTTTTATTATGCACTATAAATAAATAAATAACACTCTCGTGTACAGTATAATCATTGACTGATGGTCAATAGAGACACACAATTTCGAGGGAGGACCTGATTTGTCATGACAGCGGGTTGCGTTTAAGTCAAATTTTTAATACCCTTGCTTCGCTAACTTCCCTCAGTCTCGTTCACTTGGATGTCCGTCATTGCTTACAGTATGTTTCCCGCTTGCAATGTGTTTAAATGGAACACCTTAAGCCTTTGGTTAGGGCTAAAACGATTCTTTGAGTTACTCGAGTTACTCGATTACAAAAATTCCTCGAGGCAAAAAATCTGCCTCGAAGCCTCGTTAAATTCCTATGACGCACACTTTA